ATTTCATGTGCTCCCATCTGAAGGCCCTCTGTACTGTCAGCATGATATACTTGGAATTCAGATCCAGAGTATTTATAGCTGTACGGATAAGAGTGGGTTACAATAAAACTTTAAAAGAAAATCTGACCAAAAGCCTTTTTTTTATTAAAGTGTTTGTCATATTTTGAAACTTTTGAGAGATTACTAGTTTGTGATATTCTTCCAGACTTGTTTATGGCTTTAATAGCTGTCATTCCTCATAACATTTATAACTGTATGGAAAAATATTCTTCTGAGTTGCAAGTATTTATCATTTCACAACCCAAACCAATCTGTCACTGGTAGTTACAGGGAAAATTACTGTATTTGTGAAACTTTCAGAAGAGTCCTGTCCTTAGCTGTAGGCTGACAATTAACTGAGAACTTAGAGCTGGGAAGTCAAGCTGAAACACAAAACACTTTCTCTGTTGCTCCTTCCCTGTAAACCTACAAGCAGAGATATTTTGAGGTGATAGGACACTGTCAACATTTAGATTGTTGTTAAATGAAAAGATTCTTTTTTCCCCCCAGCTTCTTTCACAACAAAGACGACATTATTTTGTCCTCTGTCACCTTGTAAGAAGTGAGCAGTAAGAAATACATTATTGTCTTGTTTTTTAGATTGAAGCATTGGCAAAAAAGAATAGCATGAAAAGGAGAAAATGAAATGATTGCAATTACACTTGATTCTCAAGAAAGCACACTTCTCTTTCTTTGCAAGTAATTCTACCAATTGATTGTGATTCATTATTACATACAAATTTAACTTTCTTCTTTGCTATTGTCTTCCTGTATTGTTTAGATGAAGAGCACTAGGAAAACTATGTATAATCTTTCAACTATATGAATGTATGTGCAAACTTCATGACTGTGAAATCAAACAAATAAATATTTAGGAAGCTCAGAACAAAAGAGTGAAGCCATTTATGGTTACTTGCATTAAGCAATTTACTTTGTGCTTAGCATTGTTTAGCTAAGCTAATCATGGAAGGTTAACCTTTAAAATTTTATATTGCAAAGTATGTGGATCCCATTCTTGGTTCTTAATGCTTTTAGCTCTGTAAACAACATTTGACATTTACCAATAGTAATGTCATGGACAAATGTTCCCCCATCCTGCAAATGACAAAGGTTTAAATTGTTTTCTCTTCCTTTTTTTTTGAGGAAGGAGTTGAAGATTGGCAGCAGTGCAGTCTTTTTTTTTTTTTTTAATGGTGAATTAAATGATATCACTGTAGAGACCATTAGAAGTTAAATGTTTAACACTGAAAAATATTAGGCAAGCATTCAGATTTTTGCAGTGGCCACTGTTTCCTCATTTTATTTGAACTAAGCAAAAATACCTTAAAGAATGAATGTGAGAAAAACTGGTTCTAGGGCGTGTTCTGGTCCTAAATCACAACAGCACTGAATTACATGCATAGGTATGAACCTCCAAGCAGTCCTATTGCTTTTGCTGTGATGCCTCGTATGTTTATATCTACTTCTGATCTTTGTCTTTGGGTAGTGCTGTAATATAAATATTCAATATTGAGAATGAAAAAGAAATAACAATAATTCCAGTGTTTACCATTCAAATTTTCTAGTACCTTTCTTAACAGGAGTTCTGAGGAACAAACAGTCAATCTTAAATTAGTCTACCAAGGTTTTTTAAATCTATGATCTGAGCACCCCTCTTGCTCTGTAAATGTCTTTGAAGAATCTACAAAAGGCAATAAAGAAAGGAAAATTCAAACATGTTATGCAACAACTTGAATGCATGAAGTTCCAGAGATTAAAAGAATATTGGTAACCATTGAAAAGGAGGAGAATTTATGGGACAGGGTCTGTAGCAGTACTAATCCTTGATAGTAGTAGATAAGTACTACAGATCTTTTTTCCATATAATACAAAAGCTGTCATTGACATTTAATGGAGTTGGAATATGTTTCTTTGAGCTTCAAAAGTCATAACATCTCAAAGTGTGTGAGCTGTATTTAGATGGCATATACCTTGAGATACACAAGTGTTTCATACTCACCCATGCTTACTCTTCTATTAAAAACAAAAACTGTTGGAACAATCTGAAGAAAGTCACATGTGAAATGAGGCCTTGGGGACACCAAGTGAGAAGCACAAGTCGTGTAAATGACCACCTCTAAACTAGACTATTTTTGTAGAAAGCTTAAGGACATTGAGTTTCGAGATATTTTGCCACTGCTAGATGTAAGTCGCCCTTTTAGATACCTCAATGGAGCTTTTAAGGATATAGTTAGGCCAGTTTTTTCTCTATTAGTGTTAAATCCAAACTAGAACTGGGCCAGGGCAGAAAATGGCAGTAGTTCCATTCCTATACCAAATATTATTCATAAATAAATTCTTAGGAAAAAAGGGGACTACTGCAGCTTAACTTCCATTTAGAGAATTTCTTGGAGCTTTGGGCAGATTCCTGATTTGAAGAATGGCTGTTAAGACGCAGCATAGAAGTTAGAAATACAGTACTTGCTCCTGTTAGGAGGTGTTGCTGCTGCATCCACACAGCTTGGCAGAAACTGTAAAGCTAGGCTCTAGATCTGCAACCACAAGGACTGGATCAGCCTCATCTGAAGAATTTGGGTTTATTATCTTGGGGAAGGGGGAAGGAGGACAACTATTGTAACCCCTTAGCATCTCATCCAAGATTTAAAGGCTTTTCAAAAATTCTACAGATTTCTTTTGTCCATTTTCTGCTGACACTGTTGAAGAACAACAGCAGATCACAATATGGCAGTTCCCCTGGTAACGTCTTTTGAGTTGTTGTATCACACTAGTCCGAGTGGTCTAGAATTCTGCTTTTAATTTCAGCTGGTTCTTTAATCTTACTTCCTAGTACATGGTGATTTATATCTAAGCAGTTAACAGCATAAAGCAAAACACAGTGTCAGTTTAACATAGTAATCAGAGGCTAACTTTAACAATGTGAGGCTAAACTGCCTCTGAAAAACGTCACTGCAGGTTGTCTATATGACTATGTGCGTACATGGAATAGTCATGCAAGATGGATGTATACAGTAAACATATGAAACACGTGTGATGTTAAGCATTTGGTTCCGGTTAAGACCAATGGAAACTGAGGCTTCTGAACTCTGCACGGGAGACTCTCACAGCATCCATAGATATCTATTTCACGGGGAAAACATAGTCTTCCCTCCAGAGCTCTGAAAGTTTGGTTCCATAGGTGTGTTCAGAAAATGAGACTTCAAAAAGCGCTGGCTCTTTTTTCATTTACTACTTCTTCGATCCACAATATTGGTTTTGATTCAGAACACTTTAACAGGGACTGTTTCTATTTTCTTTGTCAGTAGGCTGATAAACTGTTATTACTATGGAGCAGAACCTTTTCAATACACAATATTCCTAGTGGGTCATTAATTTTACGTTGAAATAAAATAACTTTTTCCCTTTTTCTCCTGACAGTTATTCCTGATTTGTCTGTATTAGACCAAACTTTTACTCTGTTTATTACTTCTAAAACCAAAGAAAGACTGACTATTCCCAGTCAAGCTTACAGTACAGAATGTATCGTTAAAAGAAATAAGATTTGCACAAATATGTTATCCTCTTCCAAAGCATTAGTGTGTTACTCTCTGATTCTATGCTACTATGTGTTCTTTCTCCTTTGAAATTAATGGGGGAAGACTTCAGACTTTTGGGCATTTTGAAATAAAATGTTAGGCCTGTAGGCCATGGACTGGTGAGATATTAAACATACTTTTTTATTTTCTTCTACATTATTTCCAAAACGAGGAGAAATCACACAGCTGACCACACCGCAGCTACTTAATGCTGCTGTAAATAGATCATAATAAACATGTGGTATACATGATTGTCTGTGCTGATAAATGAAAGGGTGTGGATTGTTCAGCATCAGTGGAAGCAGGATAACAAGAAAAAAACCTTCCTGATTGCAGCTGCAAATAGTAGCAATTTTTCCTTCCTGCATTAATGAATGTAATTCATGTAACTTCATTCAACAGCAAAATTCTCACGTTCAGTTCGCAGACATAAAGTATTTTAATTAAGAATATCAATGAGTAACGACAACCCACTTGCAGAAAAAAGCAAAGAAGGACACTTCTTTGGACATGTAGAAGGAGCTGTGATGCTAATATAGTTTACCAATGTAATAAATTCACTTTCCTAAAACTTTTTACCAAAAGAATACCCTTTAAGCCATGTTCTGTTTATTTGTCTGTTTTCCCTTTCTAACCTTCCTTTACATGCAGTATTTGACTGCAAACCTGCATTTTACAGTCTCTAGTGATCAAATCACTTCATCCTCTATAAACATCAAAAATTAAAAGAGCTTTCAGCAAATTAACTCCAACACAACATACACAAAACTAAAATAATTCATTGTCTGGAGACCAGAACAAATTTTAATGTGCATTTACAGAGTAAACAGAGGGCTGAAAGGGGTCAAACCAGTGGAAGTGAAGGTATGTATTACAAAAGCCACACAGTACTGAATTACAAACTGAAAAGTGATGTTTTGTCAAAAAAGGAAATAAAGACGTCTATTGGTGGCACGACATATAGATAATATTAAAAACTGGCTTGCATGAGGACCAAAGTATGTCTACTCTGAAGTTATATCACACAGACTGTAAGCAATTTACAGAATTTAAGTTAGTTTTGCATATACAGGAGTTGCAAAATTAGAGAAAACACACTGAAATATAGAACGCACACATAAAAAAAAGATGTATATATATAAACCTCCAAGCAGTCATCAGGGGTTGGCCTAAGTCAGTAATTGCCACCATTGAACAAGAAATAAACAAAAAAAGACAGGAAAAAAAACCCACAGGGGAAAAAGAATAATTAAAAAACCCATACAACTCAAAAGAAAATTACCCTTATTTGTTTTCCAGAAACAACGTCCTCTAGTCTGCTTAGCTGCTTTGTAGAATTTCTTTTCTCCTCCCTATTCCTCATAAAAAAAAAAAAAAAAAAAAAGGCTTTTTGATAAATTTTGTGGGGTGTTTTATTGGGGTTGATGTTAAATCACTGTGTTTTGTTTCATTATTTGGCCTCTGTTTGCTTCCAGGCTGGAACGGTTCTTTCAGCGTAGGAACCAAATGTCATCCATGGTTAATTCTGTCATACTGATGACTCGCAGGCCAACCCCTGAGAAGTCAAGGATGAGGCTTCTCCTTGCCGAAAGAAAAGGAAACTAGGTCTTGCTGTTACAAAACGTTTGATTACATCACACCAGTTCTCTTCAAGTAAAAGATCAATGATACGCCAAAGAAAATAAGATATATCAAGAAAACATGTGGTATCCTCTTCTTTTTAGAATATTTATTTATTTATTTTATTTATTTAGTATTTTTGTTTGTACTTCCTGAAGAAGGTGCTCCTTGTGTAGAGATTTAGAGTACATTGGGTGCAGAGTGGTGGTTGGAGGTTAGGGTCAACTTTGCTGTCCGCTCCGTGGATTTTACAGGCGATTTGCTCTTTGCTTTAAGAAGAGAAAGTGATATTGGAAAAAGTCAGCACTTTTAGATTAAAGCAAAGCACCCTTCACAAAGCCACAAACAAGAAGCAGGACAGAAAGTCCATGGCTTGTAGCTATCCTCGCACCTGCGGAAGAAGTTATAAGATATTCGCTCATCTTGCAGATTTCCAATGCTCCTTATAAGGCTGTTTTAAACACATACATTTATATATTTAATTAGCTCGCCAGGTTGGCTCTGGTGCCCATGAATGTCTTGGCATGCACTGCAAATAACAACACATACAAAGTATTTCAGTCCCAGGGAGGTTTTTTTGCTTTGCTTTGCTTTTGTTTCTCGTCTGTCTTTTTAAACAACGTTATCCAGTGAAACCATATATACCAAGAGGAACAAACCCAAACACCTTCCACCTCAGAGTGGTCTTTACAAAATCATTTCCAGCATCACATCATTGACTGCTAACAAAAAAGTCATCTAGTGGCTAACGAGTGTTTTCTTGTAAAATAGAGGAGATACTGGCAAATGGCTGTGCTATTTACAAGGGGGAAACAGAATGCTGAAAGGTTTGGAGTATTCATTTTTGAGAAGTATTTTCCCAGATTTTTCTTTCTTTTTAAAAAGCTATGAAAACAATGGTACATATCATTATTTCTAAAAACATTCAGAACTAGACTAATTAAACTATGTTTGCACACCAGGAACATGAGTATTTAGATGTCTTACATACCAAGTCTCAGTGCTTGATAACTATCATAAAGAATTACATTCAGAATTTGAAACATATTACTTGAGGTGAAAACAATAAATTTAATTTTGCTACACTATAAATAAAAGTTTCAATTATAACAGATTAATGCATGATTAATAGCTTTTATAGCTGTGTTGCATACTTTAAAAGGATGAATGTTATTGATGGTTACAGGCATCAATTCTATAACAAAGTAATAATGGTGTTACAAGCAGTCCATAATAATGCTGGTTATTTTTAAAAAAATATTAATAATGTATAAGCTATTTTTGCAGAGAATTTAATATTAAACTGAATGCTGGATTCCATTGCAGCCCCCAAAAGCACATTTATCTTCTCGTCAAGAATATACACAATGAAAGCAAAAAGAACTCAAGGCAAATGCTCTTTTTTTAAAGTTTTCAGACGTTTATCAGTAAAACATTTCTCTGTATCTGCTAACTATGTTTATTCCTGTCTTTAGTAAATTTTTCCCTTCAAAAATGGGGATTAAACTAAATCCCAGATCTCTGAACACTGCTTCCTTTTGTAAATACGGTGTGAGGTGTTGCATACATAGTAGTTGCCATAAAAGACTCTTAGTCCTCTGTCACATACACAAGAGCTGCTAAGTAACAGTGATATTTCAATTATCCATGTGTGAACTGAATTCCTAAGTGAATATTAACTTTTAAATAAAACATGTCTCAAAGACATTACTAAGATTTTCAAAGAAGTCCAAGGGAACTCTGAGCTTAGTTCCTACTGAACGTAGACGAGTGAGAAGCCTACTTTTCTCTTGCCTATCTGATAATGCTAGCCTACCTGTACTACACTGCAGTAGTTTGCTGGGTTCCTCAAAACACTTGTTCTGTATTAGGAACAAGCAAACACACAAGCAAATTTGCTGTAACTTCTTCTTGTGGGTTGTTCTCATACAGGTAGCATTTACAAGCTTGTGCCCAAGGGTCGAGTTCAATTTCTGGTTTTGGTTTTAATGCAGCTTGGCTTTCTTCTCTCTTTTATATAAGGTGTAAAATTTGTCATTTGACAGATTTTTATGTTTTTTCCCTAACTAGGTTAGCAGAACTTAGTTGGAACCTTTGTTAGTGTTAGATCTTTTCATGAGATATTGAATTATGTTCACTTATTTTATTCCATTTAATTTTTTTTTTTTTTTTGATTGAACTAGAGAAATACACTGCTCAAGACAATTCTAAAGAGGTCTTTGGAGATACATTTCCTCTGCACAAAATATGTACAATGCAAATAAGGATAAATACTCAGAAGAGTCTCATGGATGTTTTTTAAAAGAGCTTTTTTTAACGATTAATGGCATTATAATTTGAGAATTTGAAAGCTGTAATGTGTGGAAGAGAAACAGTATAATACAAAATAGGTTTGACAAACTCTTTCACAGTGGGAAAAGCAGCACTATAATATTTGCAGGCAAAACATTCTTTGATTTTTGTTTTGTTTTGCTTTTTTTTCAATATGACAATCTGTAGATCCCCAAGTTAGGGGTCATATATGACATACACATGATAACCTTTTTATTTGTAATGTTCAGTCTCTGTATAAATCACAATCTCCCTCCAATTCATATCACATGTTCTACACACATGTTCTTCTGTAAACAGCAAGTTTGTTTTTCTTTAACTTGCAAGGGATTTAGGTTAGAGTACATGCAGTAAGTGCAAGCTAAAGCAATCCTCAACACATGAGAAAAATTTAGGCGAAATACAACTAAAACAATTTCAGCTTCTGGGTGAAGAAAGAGGCTGTTAGGATTGTTGGAAATCACTGTCATAAACAGTGTCCTCTGTATGGTTTCGTTAACAGAATAGTATATCTTAATGTCATATCAGGTCTGTATTTACTGGCTTAATAGTTTCCAAAATGCTGTCTAACCCAAACTGATACATTTTCAGTAATATATCACCCCTAATAAAATTGACTTGCAATATACAGTGACATGTATGACTATTAGGTACACTCTCATCTTTTCAGTGATTCTTTATGAAATACAATTGTAGTTTAAATATACTCAGGTTTCTTTTTCTTTTTTTTTCTGGAGATGTGTAAAAGAACTGTATTTGTTCTTTCATGAACCCAAGTATTTCTTTAGATTTTGGAAAGGTGAAAGCTGCAAATGTAGAATAATAACATAGCAAAACCAAAAGCAGCCGCCTTAGATTTTTTCCTTTTTCTATTCTGTCATATTTGCTCATATTCTATTATTTTGGTTTCCATCTTGATAAAGGATAAGCCACCAGAAATAGTCAGAAATTTCCATTTTGACTGCGAATCTTAAAGTCATAGGGTGTTTAAATGAGAGATGTAGTTTCACTATTTTTAGGCTTAAGTCAGAGGTGAAGTACAGATCAGAATCCAAATCCAAATGTCTCGAAAGTACAGAGTATCCAAATTCAGAGTTTTCATGCAGATGTGTTTTTGGTGTACAGTTCTGACCAGGGCTGAAATAGTATCGCTGGAACTGTGAGCATGGTAATATAAGTAAAAACCTGTCGATCTAGCTGTGGATTTGCTAAATCGATTACTCATTTCCCTGCCATTTCTAACATTATTTTCTAATTAACATAATGAGAGCTAAAAGAAATTTTGTTGCAGGTCAAGAACACTGGGCAAAGCTGGACTACAATTATGTTACCCTCAAAGACAGTAACCTGGAAGAACGGTAGTATGCATGCATATATTATTTCTACATCATTAGTTAAACTCTGTTGATGTGTGGGTCAGGGATTCTCACATTTTGACCTATCAGCCACTGGGATTCAGTTAAATTGTTCCTGTGAGATGTAAATGCCCATGTGTTGTCTTTTGTTTCCTGCCACTGACATACATCCAAAAGGGCAAATGTCCATTAAATGCTTAGCCTTCTCCTGGAAACAAATGGTGTATTGCCAAATGCATGTGATCATGAGATAAGTTTCTGTGCAACAGCATGAAAGAGTAGTTCATGCCATTAAACTCTTTGAAACTGTGATTTATTCAAATATGTGGCTTACTTAAATGCTAAGAAAACAGAGAAAAAACAATAGTGATTAATAATTGTGATCTTAGTGTTTAAAATAATAAAATAATCTTGGGCACAAATGCTGAACCATATTTCATGGCTCAAAGTATATGGACCAAATAGCTAAACAACAATTTTGTTCTGTTAATGAGATTAATTTTAGAGCATCTAAGTATAAAATAAAGCCAGCAGAAGTTATAAATTGTTAGTAAACCCTAACTGATCAAAAAACTAGTTACTCACTGCATGCCTGAATGACTATAATTCCTTGCTTTCACTATGATATTGATCAGACAAAATTTGTGTAAAAATACATGGGATTTTGGGACACCAGCAGAGGAAAACAAATGCTGGTTTCATAATTTTGCTCATTTATTTTTCACAACTGGACAAAAAACTGATTTGTAAACTAAGCAGCTGCCTCAGGCCCTACAGTGTTAGCATCCACTGTTTGTAAGAGTACCTTACATGGTTAACCACCTTGGGTCTCAAGCAGTTTGCATCTGCAAGAGTTGAAGTTTAACAAGTTTGGCATTTGTCGTGCTTGCTAAGGTTTGGGAGGTCTCTGGGATGTAATACTTCCTGCACTCCGAGCCTCAATAGCTGTCAGAGCCTCTGAAAACTGGATTCTTACAGTTATGCTTACAATGAGTAGTGTATCATCATATAAATGACAGAAAGAATCTGTGAACTCAAGAGCACTGCTTTAATATTTTACTAAACATATAAGTTTAGTGAGGGTGTCCTTGAGTTTTCTTTAATTAATAAGCCACTGATCACAAGGGAAGACTAATGTCCAAGTAGAGTCCTGATTTTGTGCTGACCAGTACAGGAGAAATACAGTCAGTCACACAGAAGTCCATCCTAGATTCTCTGTATGTATTACATGATGCCAAACTATCGCTGCCTATATATGAGGGGTATATATTCAGCTTGTGCTGAATATGAGTTAATTTTGTTGTACTATGGGTTTCTGAAATCACAGAGGTGTTGAAACCTTGGAAGTTTCATTTCCCAGGAGTTTGTGCTGATATTTTCCATCTTTAAGTGCCTGGTTTGCTGTTTTGCAATGCTCGGCTTTGCTTTATAGTGTTAGCTTTGAAATAGCTTTCTTGTCAGCCCCAGTTGAAACCACATGAAATCATAATTATGCATTATTTCCATGCAAAGTAAGTAAAAGTTCATGAAATACCTGCCTTCATTTTACTGGGGATATTAATGAACCATAAGATTTCTTGGAAGAGGTTTGCAGTTTTACATCCATAAAGATAGGTGAAACCAAGTATAGTTGATTTTATTTGAAGGTTTATTTGAATATGTCTCACATGGGTTTTAAATACATACTTCCTCTCTGGCCTACCAA